TAACAGAACAGAAGTTTGGCTCATACAGACTGGCTTAAAAATGAAAGAACCCAATCTAAGATTTGCACTCCCCTCTCCCCCTGCAACCAAAGGGCAAATAAATGTTTTGTTTGCTGCAGATCTAAACTAAACCATGGACAGAAAACTGTGTAACTTAGATTGATTCTGCCCCGGGCTTTTTTAATGTCTGTACCTAGCTGTAAAGTTCTGCCCCTGCATGTTCCCAGAACTGCCGCTACCTTGACAGTGTTGGACAACTCTGCTCTAATCCGGTATCTAAGGCCTATTTCTCTTAAAGGACCCAGTCTAGGTTAGTGTGCTCTGGGCAGACCTAATGTGCATCATATTGAGCTCCAAACAAGCAGTGGCCATAGCTCCTTTCATTCAAGAATATGGCTGGTGGAGGAGGTGGTGATGATGGTGCTGCTGCTTTTCCTGCTACAATGGCTCAGTTGCTAGGGTGATTATTCAGGTTATGGGAGACCTCGGGCTGAGGCAGTTCAAGCACAAACTCGCATCTCCCAGAAGAATACCCTTGTCGCTAGGCTTTAGGCTAGGTTGGGTGGGAGTGCACTATGTAGGACCACTGGGTCATTGTGGAAAAAGGGGGGTGGGAATCAAGATTCATTAGGCCACAGAGAGAATTCACAGAAGGAGAATGAGTGTCTAGTCCAGTGGTTAATGCACTCACCTGGGACAGGGGATACCCTGGTTCCATAAGCTATCTCCCTGAGGCTGAGAAGGGAATTGAACCCAGGTCTCCCACAGTCTAATAGTGGGCCCAAGCTACTGGCTTCTCTGCCATCTTAAAAGAGGTGTCCTCTGCTTCACTCTGGAAAGTCTAGTTGTAGCCCAGGACAGACCTTGGAGCTGTGAATCCTGACCTGATGTAGATGCTATCTTGTAGCCTAGAGTTAGGCCCCTAAGCTACTAAGAGCTTAAATACACCCTCTTTGTTCAGCATTTCACATTGGCTTCTTTGGAAAGCTCCCTGTACAGTGTTCTGGCTGTTTTGAATCCTGCTCTAAGGCACCTACCTCTCCCCTTGCATTACAGAAAGAGCATAGGTATCCTAGGATTGTAGATTCCACTTGGGAGCTAGGCCTCTAAATGGGTTGCAGTGAGTTGCAACCCTGACCCCTGCAATATCCAGTCCCTTTGTAAAGCTCTTATTGATGTGGTAAACGTCCATGCTCTTAATTCTGAAAGTCCCACACACGAACCCTGCTGTTGGCCCAACATATGCAGTATGATCCGACTACCTAATGCTACTGCTTCTCATACACTACAGATGGGAGCAAAGCGCATTCCACTCTGTATGTGCTGTCTTGGGCCAAGGAAGCCATTTATGCAAGATGTAGCTCCTGCCCATGGAACCTTTTGCCTCCTATGGACCATGAAATATCTGCAGTGAATAAAGCAAGGCCTGTCAGTTCTAAGTCTGGTTTTCCCTGTTGCAGGGTGGGAGGAACAGTGTGTCAATTCCTCTATTCAAAAGTCAGAGGCCGTAGCTCAAGAAGTAGCCCATATAGATACATAAGATCTGCACCTGGCAGTATTTGTCTTTTAAGGCATGGTTGAAACCAAATGGTTAACAGGACTTATGAACGGTTTGTCTGTTCATACAGCTTCTCATAATATCAAGGGTTATGTACAGACTTGGACTCTACCCCTTGGTTCAGATTCTTCTACCACCCCTATTTACTTAGCTGGCCTGAAGAAAGGGTGGTGTGTTCTGTTTTTATTAACAGCACACGTAGTCATGAAATGGATCTGCAGAGTTGACATCCCTTGTTGCAACATCACCTGAAGAATGTCTCTCCCATGCTGTCCGCCCCACCTCTAAATTGCAAGCTCAGTTGTAATTTGTGTCTGGTCGGCACTTTGTGGTACTGCCAAGTTCTGAGAATTCAGTCAAAGGGGCAGCTGATAAACTCTCTACTAACAGGCTGCCAGTGAGTTCACCTGAACTGTAAGCTCTTCAAGGCAGCAACCTTGTACTTGCCTTGACACCGTGCACACCTTTGGCACTGTGAGAACAGCAAATAGAGCAACTCGTCAGTGCTGAAAGGAAGGGTGTATGCTGCTGGTGTGTCACTACTCCCTCACAACTCTAGATGCAGATGGAAAAATGGTACACAACACTTCAGCTATCCCTTTCTCAGACTCTTTTTTGCAAGAGCCCATCTATTCCCTATGTCATCTGCTCTCGGGCAAGTTAACTGAGTGCTCCAGAGTGTCATAGGAAACCCCCTGTTCCCAGTACCCTTCAACCAACTTGCTTTCTCTGCCAGCCTCCAGAGTCTCCTGTAGAAACTTTCCTGCTCCCTTCAGCTTCCTTATGTCCAGTTGGCCTCTCTCCTTTATTGGCAAAATGCTGAACCATTATGGGTAAGCCTGAAGGGCCACCAATCCTATAAATGAAGGATTCTCTGGGATCAAATGAAGTACAGAATCTCTTTAAGCCTGGGAAGTTCCCCTTAATGATGTGCTATCCTCAGAAGAGGATGGTATCTGTGATCATACAGATCTTTTTTTCCCCTCTAACAAGAAGCTGAGGTTACTTTGATGCTTAGAGCCTGCAGATATGCAATTTCCAGCTTTACCTATTGTAACTTGTTCTCACCATGAGCCTCCTGCCCCTTGTTTTCAGGTTCACTTCCTGACAGTTTATGCCTGTCTTTAGGTAGGAGAGGGAATAATCAGCAGCAGTTCACAGTAGTAACTTTGTTAAACAGAATAATTCCCTACATCTCTTCAGTATAACTTTCAGGGAGGCTAAGCTGAGACCTGTTCATCCCCCATGAGATAAGCTGCAGAAATGGAGGAGCATTTTGCCTCTGGCATAGTGCCAGTCGAGGCCACCCAGATATCCACAAAAAGCATTTTGCATGGATATGGGATGTAGTGTGTGGTACAGCTCTCTCTAGCATCATTCTCTGCTGAGAAAAGACACACACCTCACTGGAGTCATCTGACCTCAGCAGTCTTTCCTGCCTTGAAGCAGGGGGCTGGACCTGATGATCTTGTGAGGTCCCTTCCAGCCGCTAACTTCTGTGAATCTATGAGGGTCCTGATCCCTGTGGAAATCTGAGCAGGAGACAAAATAGCATGGAGGTCTGCTAACTCAGCCATGGAAGGAATGCTTCTAATAGCAACAGGGATTCTCCAGTGAGTTTCACTAACAGAAAGGTGGGGGAGGTTGGATAGCAGATGCAAAGACTACAAGCATATCTCCAGTATCCTTCAGGTTGGGATGGAGTGTGCATTTAGCAGAGGCAAAGACTACAGGCTTATCTCTAGTATCCTTCGGGTTGGGATGGAGTGTGCATTATCGATGCCCACTGGAGGTGAGTAGCAGAGAAAACTCAGTAAGGATCTTCCTTTCTGTTCTTATGCTCCCTTCTGGATGAGGGGCTGGTCTAGTTATGGTAGGGATGTATTTAACGGTAGAAGCAAAGCTCTTTCCCCAAAACTCTTACATGTTTACATCAGCCATCTCAACTGTGATCCAAAAATGCTACATGAAAAGCCATCCAGGACCTCTGTTTCAGAGTGAAAGGTTTGATTGCTCAGGTGTGGAATTTTTCTTGTTCTCTAGCCTCAATCTACTTTTGGACAGGGCAAAGATCAGTGCAGGGGCTTTCACTTGTGTGTCAGTGTTAATCAAAATGCAGCCTGCACAGGGTCCAATATAGTACTATAATAGCATTAATGAGATATAGGATTTATAGCAGGGATAACTCTGTCACTGGCCTAGAAGAAAGGAGCTTGTAATTCATGGATCACAGCATGATATTTGGGGTACCTTAGATCCATTATGTGGTACTAACGTACTATCTGGTGCATCATGCACTGAGAGAAATGTGCCAGGGGATCTGTGAGACTACCAAAAGCCCTATTACCTTCATTGGATTGAATTGCTTGCCCAGTTCAGGATGGCCTAAAACCATCCCTAACTGTAGCCAATACATGCCTTCCTTTCATTTGCCCATTCTCCACATGGTAATAGAAAAGTCAGAGACTTGCCCTGACTATTTTTGAGGCCATTTAAGCTACAATGCCTGCTTCTAAAAAAAAATAAGCAGTGTTTCTTGGTGTTTCAGTGTCTCAAGAACAGGTGAAAACTTGCCAAGACTGCACAGTACTGACCAGCTTTCAGCTGCTGCTGCTGCTTCTGGGAGAGGACTACTGTTTCTGAATACAGGTGTCTTGTTTTTAAGCAGCCTGAGGATTTAGCAGATTTTTTTCCTATTCTGACATAAAAGCAGCAGAGGCATAAACAGGAGAACTATAATCCTGCTTCTAACTTCAGTTCCTGCTGCAAAATATTCTCACTGCTTACTGCCTAAAGCATTGGGCATTATCCAACCTATGTACAAGTCTGAAATACTGAATTTAAATATGCTGGGAAAGCAAGATGAGCTCTGTTTACCTGACAAATGATGCTGTTTCTAGGGGCCAAAGACACTGCAGGCTTATGCAGCATACAGTGCATTTTTTTTGTGTTTTTAGACTAGTTCATTTGTTACCCTAGACAAAAACAGTCTTTGTCATGTATTCTAGACCAATTCCATTTGTTAGTGCTGTGGTTCAAACTAGCAAGCAGTTGGCATATAAATAGTATTTAAAAAACAGCTGGAAGTTTCAACCAGAACACAAAAAGAAACCTTTTAAACTCCAAAAAAATAAAAAACTTTTCAGTCCCAAAATGTCTCTGAGTTGTGAATAAATACATTGAGCTTATAATGACATTGTGTTGATAATCATTGCTAGTGGAATACGGAGTACTTTTGACGGTCTTTGAACATCAGCCAAATGCTCAGGCAGCTTGCTGGCCTTTTTGATACCAAATATGTCCAGATAACCCACATATTGATAAGCATGCATAACAAATCCCATCCAAGATCTCCTTGTAGACTTAACACATTGCTCATCATAGCAGCCAAACAAAGTGATCTAGAAAGGATTCCCCTCTAAACCAATTTCCCCAAAATATTCCAGGCCTTGATTGTATGTTTGAAACAGTTCTGCAAGTGCCCATTAGATGTCACTACTTGGCCAGCTTGTGCCGTAAAGGACATTCGTGTGACGTTGAAGCTTACGTTTCTGTGCACTTCACCATTAGACTGTTCACTGTATTCACTCTGGTGCGTTCTTGCAGCTTATCAGGTGTGTATGCAAGATAACTATGATTGTTTGCCACTTTGGGATGTTGTGGGAATGTTACTAAACCTATGCTTAGCTTAAATGGCTCCACTCTTGGTAAAACTATTTAGAAGCTTCTCTGTGTATGTGGTATGTAAATGTTAGCTAGTCATTTAACAAATGTAAGATGGCCTCTCTCTCATTTTATCAGAAATGAAAATTAATAGCTAAAGTAATTCTTTAAACTGAATGTTTTTAATTGTAACAGTTATTTAGGGCTGTTAGGCCCACAAGAATGAATTAAGTGCCAAACTGGCTGTTCTAGTTATACTACTAACAAATTTATTAAAAAAAAAAATACGTGTATTTGTCATAATTGGAGAACAAAATAAGGGTGGGGGGAAGCCCATTCTTTCAAGAGAATCACTTTGGACCCCACTTTCCACGGATTAGATAAAATATATAATAGGAAAATATATATCATTTTCCTTGAATGATAAAAGTACTACTACTTGTTTCCTATTGTGCCCTATAGTCCAGGAGAAGAGTGAAATACTTTGTCTTAAGGTATTTGTTTCACTTATGCAGTACTTCATTATGCAGGGAATAGGACTAAATGAGATCAAAAGTAGAGGAAAGGCACAAATAGGGGAGAAAATAAACTATTTAAAAAATATCCAGATAGTATGAACACACTTAAATAACCAAGGCTTGATTTGAAAGTCACACCAAAATGTCA